TTCACATTTTTCTGCCATTTGCAGCGTTCAACAAGATTAGATTATATCAAATGGACGTCAAGAGTGCATTTCTAAATGGCGATTGTATGTGGAACAACCTTCGGGCTTTGAATGTCTAATCAATCCAACACATATCTTTAGACTTAACAAAGCTCTATATGGATTAAAACAAGCCCTAGAGCTTCGTACGAGAGGTTAAGTCTCTTCTTTATCAAGAATGGTTTCATGGGAGGCAAGTAGCCACCATGTTATTCAGGAAGAATGTCAATAAAGACTTCATTATAATTAAAATATATGTTGAAGAAATTATCTTTGATGCTACTAATGAGGAGTTATTCCAAGACTTCTTCCTCATGATGCAAGATGAATTTGAAATGAGCATGATGGGTGAGCTAAAGTTCTTTCTCAGACTTCAAATCAAGTAAGAAAAAGACACAATTTATATCCATCAGACTAAATTGTTGATAGGGGGAGCAATATAAGTGCTAAACCCAATCCCTGATGTGTTTGGTTTTTGATGATGACAACACATTGATGATGACAACACATATATGTTTTCATGACAGCACCAAAATGTTTCTTTATGACTCTTTATGAATTGATACATATGTTGTTATGTAAATGTTTCTTTATGATTAATACATATGATGATTGTTGACTAGTCTACATACTTAATGTGTTCATAATTGTGTTTATATCTTCTGTATGCATAATCATTTTTTCATGTGATAAAACCACAAGCACAAAGCAACTCTGCACTACCCAGGTGTTTTCTATTCTGATCAGGTTTTGTTTTACAATCAAAAGGATTTTTGTTTCCATGTGCATGGGCGAGGAAGAAGAACATGAGGTTCTTGGTACTTTGAGAAGGGTCTCAAAGGGTTGCTGCAGTTAAGAGGATTGTTCTTTTGCAGGTTGTATTTGCTATATTAGATTGGTTTAGTTAGAGAGATATTTTACATTTGAGAAGTGGTCTTTGTAAATCCTTGTTGTAAAAACTAAAATCTTTATAGTGGAAATTCTTTCAATCTCATGCTGATTGAAAGAGACTAGATGTAGGCATTGAGGTTGAACCAAAATAAAAAGACTGTGTTTGTCTTCTTTCTCTATCTCTCTACTGCTTTATTATTCATAATTGTGTTGTGCACATTTAAAGATCATCTTAATTTTCCAGAAAGATTCAAAAAGAAATATATTTTACTATATACCAATTCACCCCCCTCTTAGTAAGAGAAACAAGCCATTTCTTTTCTTACATAAATACATCAAGGAGCTGCTGAAAAAGTTCAAATTGGATTAAGCAAAGGAGATAAAAACTCCAATGCATCCAACAAATAACGTACTTAGAAACCACATCTGTCATTAAACCAAAATAATGTGCAGTAAAACTTGTCTATTTTAGGTTGTAAATTTGATTTTCATTTTGAAACCTATTTTTTGTGATTGAGCATTGATGAATCAATATTTTATACTATTCACTTAGTTTTCCTCACCTTATTGTCTTAGCGAATTGTGCTTAATTCTTAATTATTATCTCATTTTCACTATTTGGGCTTAATTTGACTAATAATTTTTATTTTAATTAATTTGAATTATTTGGACTTAATTATTCCAATTATTATTTGCAGGACAATATTGGAAACATATTTTGGGACAACAAGAGTGTGGCCACGTCAATAATTGGGATTGATTTCGTTTTGTAATTTTAATTATGTTAGTTTTGGACATATTTGACTTTTGGGCCTATTTTTGATCAAATTTTAGGAGAAGCGCATTATAAGGGCAAAATTGTAATTTGAGGGTTTTGAAACCCCAAATCAGATTTGAAAGCACCCCCTCCCCTCCTTTTCATTTTTACGTTTTCTTTTAGGGTTTTGAGCATTGGAGCATTTTTCTTCTTCTACTTTGCTGCAATGTGCTATTTTATTTCGTTTTAATGGAAGAGTGAACTATTTGGGTTGGTGGTTATGGATATTGCTTTGCATCCTTGAGATTTCTGGATTATGTTGATGGAGTCGTTCTTGCCTTGCATGAGGTCAATTTAGTTTGTATTCGCAATTGGGTATACGCTTAGTTGCTTAATTGATGTTTGATTTTCGCTTAGTTGCTTAATTGATGTTTGATTTTCGCTTAGTTAATTGAACTGTTGGGTGCAAATTTAATTGGACTCGTGCAATGTGTTTGCTTAATTCATGTATTTGAAGACCAGATTAACCTTCTCTTAGTTGGTTAATTTGTGTTGGATTAGGGGTGAGAGTAGTGTTTAATTATGTTAATTTGTGATAGGAAGCATTGCAGTTGATGTAGATACCAACCCATTTTGAATCTGTGTTAAATTTCGTGTTTCATTTAATTCATTTTCGTTCATAAATTATCCACAAAAATACCCCCACAAAGTGTTCGACCTAATTCCTGAACCATAATTTGGTTCTTGAGAGACGACCTAGGAGTCATTTCTTAGTCTATACTGCACTTAATTGAGCATTAAATTTGTATCGGGTACGACCTCGATCAAGCATTTTAACTCATTTATAAGTCATTTTAGAACTACATGTGGATTCATTTAGATATCTCTACATGCCATTTAAAAGTTTGGACCAAAACTCCACGATAGAAGTAGAAAAATATTCCAAACCTAGGTCTGCTTTCATGAAACTAGAGTCCATGTTAGGTCTACCGTTTTAGGTTCAATTTAATAGATCATTGCTTCTTAGTCCTTTAGCTTTGATCTTGTGGTAACTCCTTTGTTTGAATTACCTATTTATAACGTCTAGTGGGTGATGTTTCTTTATGAGTTGTTGGTTCTCTTCCTTCTTGTGGAGCATTTCGTGTGTTGCCTTGCATATCGTTTGACGCATCTTCCTTTGTTACATTTGATGTGTATCGTCTACTAGAGCCTCTATTGATGCATTTGGTCTTTATATTTTTTGTACCAGCATGTCAAAACCAATGGAGTCTTCTAGCTTTGATAATTTCTTATTAGGTTTTCTAGAGTTATACACTCTATACGCCTTACACGTATTTGAATAGTCAAGTAAGATTACTTTTATAATCAAACTTTTCTAGATTAGTTTTTGTATTTAAAATAAAACATTGAATTCCAAAATGATGAAAATAAGAAATGTTGGACTTTTCAATTTTTTCACAATTCAGAGAGAATTTTTTTTTATAAAGGGTGTAATGTAATTTTCTTTTTTAAATAGCATGCTGTATTAATTCTTTCTACCTACTAAATGTTTTGTGTGGAGTTTGCATTTAGCATTGTTCTTGCTATTGGAAAACTTGATTTTTTCTTTCAATAACCATATTTTGTTAAGATGTAATTAGAGTGGAAAAATTATGTTTTATTCCAAAACTTTCTAATAATTCACAAAAGTTTTAATTTTAAAATTCTCTACCATAATTACTTATAACAAAAAAAATTAAGAGTTGTTTTTTATTTTGAACTTGTTTTAAAACTTTACTAAAAACTTTAAAAAGACTCATCATTGTGGCATAAGAATTTTACCCAAGGTTTTTTAACCATTCTCTGCTAAACAGAAAAATGGAGTCCTAATGTATGAAACTAAACTTATTTTAAAAAAAAAATCTATTCATTTTGTATTCTTTAATACTTTTTAACTTATTATTAAAATATATCAAGTTATTTTAACAGTAATTTTAAGTGTCACTCTTTATTATTAAGTTTATTCTTTTAATTTAATGTTTTTAAAATTAACTCACATTTAATCTGTGTTTAACATAACAACATCCGTCAAAACTATTTGGAAAATCGTTTAACTCCACTTAAAAAAATTGTTCGAAAATATACTAACATAAACTTATCCCCACTCTGTTAAAAAAACAATATCTCTTCCTACTAAATCAACATAGCAGTTAACAATAGAAAAGAGAAAAAAAGAAGTAACATGATAATAGATTCTCTGTTTCATAGTTTTGTCCAATTTTAATTGCTGTATTTTTGTTCAGTTTTTACCATCATATATGTTTGAGAAATGATGATTTTTGTGTAACATAAAGGGTTTGACTCCTTTTGACTTTGTTGCCTCCTACCTAGTGCCTATTGGGCATGGAGAGTTGGAATTCAGTCTGAGTGTTGGAGCAGATAATTGTATTATGAAAATTAAAATCACTGCATACATCTGCAATCTGCCATATTCCACCTTTGCATGAGTGCTTATGCAACAAGTTGCCTTCCAATGATGCTCCAAGATCCTCAACATGCTAATGCTACTACTCCTTATCCTACCTTCCATGCATGTTAAATCAACCCTACTTTTCTTCTTCATTCATGATTAATATTAATATCAATGACATCACATAAACAATCCATCAAATTTATGTCTATTATGTCATTAATAAATGTAAAATTACGATTTCAAAAACTAAGATTGACCTAAATACATGTAAATTTCTTTAAAGTAAACAGATTAAAAGTTTTGTTTTGAGAAATTAAAGGGTTAGTTTAGTTTTACTGTAATGATAGCAATAATAGTTTCTTCTGCATTAAAGTTAAAATAAATTACTAATTTGTAGTTTAAATGCTTAGACTGTTAATTTAGTTTTAAAAAGTTGAAATATATATTTTAATCACTATAGATGTGAAAAGTCCTTTAAATTAGGTTGATTAGGTTTTTGAAAGGTTGAAATATTTATTTAGGTTTCTGAAATGGTAAAAAGTCTTAAAATTTACCTGGTTAATTTTTATAATTATTATATTGGAAACATTAAAGAATTGAATTATACTTATTTGCCCTTCAAAGTTATTAATTGTAGAAATTATTAACAGTCATTTTCAAATCAAAAAGGGAAAATAATGGCACGAGGGCAGCTGTAGAAAAAAACACTAAAGGTAATCCTGATGGTATTTTCACATTAATTATATTTCCTTCTTCCATCCTAGACACCAAAATATGTGATATCACATTCACATGTGTTTATAAATGCTTGACTAGATATAAATAAATGATTAATAAATATATATAAAGCAAAATGCCATCAACTGTGAAACCTTCCCCTCTCTCTTTTTCTCTCCCTAGAAAAGATAAATCATCTGACACAGGAACACACTCTCTTTCTCCTCCTTAAAAAACACCCAAAAACAATGGCGCTTCTGTCTTCTTTCTTTCAAGCATAGAAAGAGAAAAATAACAGTAGTAGCACGACCACAGTCGCCAGCTCCCAAACTGCTACTCATTTTCCATTAACTTGGAAAAACAAATCCCGACCCTTTTTTTTTTCTTTCTTTTTTTAATCTATAAAAGGAGGTGTGTTACACACTGTTTTCTTGTCCCCTCCGCGAAAAAGGAGCGAGTACCTAAGCTTGTGGTAGTTTTCAGTTGCAAGTTTGTTTCGGTTTTCTATCTGCTGTAGAGTGCATGCTTGTGTTGATTCAGAGTTCATTTTGCTCTCTTTTTTTTTTCGGGTTTGCCTGAGATCCGGTACCCTTTGGGATTTGTAGCTCCTTTTGCTGAGATCTGTTTGCTTTTGGAGTTTCTTTGCTTGTTTGGTTGCTGGGTAGCGATTGGTTTTTCGTGTTGTTGCCAAATTTGTTGGTGATATAAAAAGAAAAGAAAGAAAAGATACTGGTGAGTTACTTGTTCTTGGTGCTTCAAGCTCTGTAGGATGAAGTTTTCCGTTGAAGATTGGAACTTGGGGTGGTGGGGGTTGAGGAGGATTGCAAGCGAATGAAGGGTAGGAGTAGAATAAATGCTTTTTGTAGTGAGACTGGTATTGGATGAAAATTGAAAAGGTGAGGATTTCTGAGTTTATTAGTATGTCTATTTGATGGTTGAAGGAATTTTATATCTTGGGTGGTCGAGTTTTGTTTAGATTCAAATTTCTTTTGGTTGTTGAAGGAGTAAAGGTGAAAGAAGAATGGTATTGTGGGGTAAGAAAGAAGAGAAAACAGGGATTGTTGTTTGGTTTGGAGTGAAGGTTGTGGGAATTTTGTTGCTACTAAATTGCTCTACTTAAGAGTTTGCTTAAGATCATTGCTTTTTGGGACTGCGTCTAAGGTTTGAGATTGCTGAAACTTTACTGAAATGAAACTTTCATCAGCAGGTTTTAGTCCTCCACCCCAAGAAGGTACGTGTAAATCTTCTTGTTTTTGTTTCGTTTCCTCTCTCTTTGTATTCTCCATTTCTATTTTTAAGAACTTGTTATTTCTTCCTCATTTCCATGGAATTTGTGCTCAATAAGTACAGTTTTATGTCTAGCATGGTGGTGGGACTCCCTTTTATTTTTTTTAGGAGGGGATTTGGAAATTTTACCCCTTTTGGATGCAGTTTATATTCTTTCTGATGTAGCTAAGAGATCATAGAAGGAATTCGGTTTAATTTGCTGAGCATCTTCCACTTTTCGTTTGATATTTTGAGATCTTGGCTCTGTCAACAACGTGCCAAAATCCATTTTGTCCTTTCAGACATTTAGGGAGCAGTTATGAACTTTAACTACCATATTCATGACATTGGGATGGGTTTTTGCAGGAGAAAAGCGAGTTCTAGATTCAGAACTTTGGCATGCATGTGCTGGTCCACTTGTTTCTTTACCAGCTGTTGGAAGCCGTGTAGTATATTTTCCACAAGGTCACAGTGAACAGGTGAGTTGGATTGTAGCATCCACAGAGAAATCCTTATGGGTGTTATCTAGATTTGATGTTACTATGGTATGCTAAAATTAATAAAACGAATCGTCTGCCTCGGACATGAAGATGATGTTTTGGTTGCTCGTCTTCTAAATTGTGACTCAAATTGGTTCTTTTGTCTTGTCTCTTTAGTGTATATGACCGTGTGGGCTGCTAATCTAAGGGCTGGGTTACTATAGTGACTCTTTTGTATACTAATGCTTAACTCACTCTTGAGCATAATTCTTTAGTCTTAAACTGTTGCAGTTTAATGAATTAGCTCTTAGAAATTAGAAATATAATATCTCCAACTACCCTGAGACTATCCGCAATTGAACGTTTTACATTTTATAACATCTGTCTTTTTCTGCATAAGCTACATGAATAACCAGTATCATCATTTTTCTGCTTAGGTTGCTGTGTCTACCAACAGGGAGGTGGATGGCCATATACCAAATTATCCAAGCTTACCGCCTCAGCTTATATGTCAACTTCATAACGTGACTATGCATGTAAGGATTATTTATTTATTTGTTCTTTTACCATAATAATATTGTTTATCTTGGTTACCTTGTTTCTCCCAATGCTGATTACTGCACTCTATTTTCTTTTAACTATTTGTTCATTTCTTTTGTATTCAGGCAGATAATGAGACTGATGAAGTATATGCTCAGATGACTTTGCAACCTCTGAGTCCTGTATGATTCTCTTTCTTAACTGATAACTTCTTGTGTGGTTTTTATGTTTATATTCTAATACAATCTTTTTACTATGGGGTGTTTTCAGCAAGAGCAGAAAGAGGCATACCTTCCAGCGGAGTTAGGCACTCCAAGTAAACAGCCAACAAACTACTTTTGCAAAATTCTGACTGCCAGTGACACCAGCACTCATGGTGGATTTTCTGTTCCTCGTAGGGCAGCTGAAAAAGTTTTTCCTCCTTTGGTAAAATATTAGTGTTATGCTCTAAAACTTTTAACTTGTTCATAAAATCTCTGAATTTCTTAACTTTGTAATTTTGACCCACAGGACTTTTCACAACAGCCTCCCGCTCAAGAGTTAATTGCAAGGGATTTGCATGGTAATGAATGGAAATTCAGACATATCTTCCGAGGTGGGTTGTAAAATCTTATATGTCTTCATTGCAAATGTAGGAGTTGATTTTTTGTTTAAATAATTAATATGTTTTTACATCAGTATGTTTCTTATTCTGTTGTATTTTTCTTGCCTGTTGCTAAAATTAAGTTCTCTTTCCGTTTGTAGTGTTTGAATTTGGTGTGTTTTCTTTCTGCAGGTCAGCCTAAAAGGCATCTACTTACAACTGGATGGAGTGTCTTTGTGAGTGCTAAAAGGCTTGTTGCTGGTGATTCAGTTCTGTTTATCTGGTAAGTAATTTATTGCTCCTCTCTTTCCAAGTTTTTTTTTTCATGTGTTAAAATTGGCCTTTGACAGTAATGTTTGGTTGGCTCATTTGCCTCCCTGAACCAAGCCATATGATTCTTATGTCATTTGGCCATTCAAAAGAATATAGGATTTTTTTTTTATTGATGTGTGTTATTGAAATAATATAGATAAAGAACAATAAATAGAGGAGCACTCTCTCCTCCAAGGGTTTCCTCTTCACAAGGAGCTAATGCTCAACCTACGAAATTAACATCCTTTTCTCTTGTCTCCTTCCCCCATTTATATCTAACTAACACCTCAACTAACTGACTAATTAGTATTATAATTCTTAATTAATTTGGCTTCTCCTTATATCCTAACAACACACTCCTCCTAAATGAGCTTAATCTGATGGCTCATCGTCATCACCATGATCTTCATTTGCCATTCCTATTGATACTCTCCTGCCGTAGGAGGGGAACCCACTGGCAACTGCAAGCAAATTCGAGGCTTGGGTGGTAGTGGGGATTTTGGTGGATTTTGTATAACAGCCTCTGAACCTTCCTTCTGGATTGGCTCCATTAATTAGCAAGTTGTTATCTACAGATGCAGTGAAGTTTCATGCTAAAGGCTTGACTAGTAAGTTGAAATTCCAATATTCCAATACCATTGTTGTTCTGACCAACCATCTTCATTATCAAATCTTGGTCCAACAACTATTAATTATTCATATTATGGAAATCTGAATTTGGGAAAAAAATTATTCTTGGTTGCAACTCCACCTTCAACTTCCTTATTAGTTGACTCACAGTCAGGATATCAAGAAATTATCCATACAGCCCATAATTTCCACTGTCTTTATTGATGCATTCACTTCTTCCTCCATCATAATCTTTGTTTCTCTTGTTAATATCACTTCATTTTTGGTTTCTTATGCACTACAAAGGGTGTGGTTCTTGATTACTGAACCTTTTTTACTTTTGCTTTCTGCTTTCTACCATCACACTTAAAAATGCTACTCTTTGAATCAGTTTCCCCTTCTATATACTTCCAACAAAGAGATGGGTAGTTCCACCTTTCTTGTCCAAGAACTTGCTTCTGCTTCAAAGCATTTTGGCTCACTTCCCTCAATTCTATTTTGTCTTGTTCAGTCAAATGTGGATCGCCCTCTTCACTCAACATCTTGTGCAGCAATAGTTTGGGCTCTAAATTGTTGATTCTATCTTTCAAGAACATTGGGGAAGTCTCCATTTCTTTGCTGCAAGATTCCATCTCAGTTTGCACTTCTTGCTTCCTGGCATTCAATCTTTCGAAGATGTGGCTACAATAGCTATCTTTGAATCTTTTTTTTAAGCTGTGTAAATTGATTCCCAATCTGAATCTGTTATCTTGACACCAATTATAGAAGCAAAGCATTGTCACGTCATCCATGTTCATGAATGCACTGCATCTTATCAAATGAATGAATATCTTGCACTTCAAAGAATTTTTCAGCCCTTGCAATCCAACCAATTGGATCTGGCCCCAAAACGCTGGCAGCTTTCTTATGACCCAAATTTGTGCTTCCTCCATGTTTGATGCCGGCTCTCCCTTAAAGACCCTTCAGGTCAGACCAGTTTGTTAGGAACCCAGAGTTTAAAAGATAAAGGAAGATTTATTGAATAGAATGAAAAGAACATGAAATAGGAGAGCACTCTATCCTTGAAGGGCTTCCCCTTAACAAAGCTAATCCCAATCTACAAAATTAACATCCTTTTCTCTCCTCTCGTTCCCCTACTTATATCTAACGAACACCTCAAATAACTAAATAATCTTCTAACTATCTTAACTAATTTCTGTTATCCGGATATCCTAACAATAATACGTTTCATGTTTTATAATATTTTGATCAGTTTCTATTTTGAGCCAGGGGTCCTTAATTGAGTTTCTGTTGACGTATGGTCCTGATTATTGTGATGGTTCAGGCTTTATAGGAGTTGTTGCTTCTTATTTCTTCTAGCTACTTGCTTTTTAATCCAGACTTGAATGATACTATGCCCAGCATAGTTACTTTTTTATTAATTATCTGATAATTGGTCTAATTGAAGTGTATTTTCTTCAGGAATGAAAAGAATCAATTGCTTCTTGGCATTCGGCGTGCTAATCGTCCTCAACCTGTGATGCCTTCATCAGTCTTGTCCAGTGATAGTATGCACTTGGGGCTTCTTGCTGCTGCAGCTCATGCAGCTGCGACTAACAGCCGTTTCACCATCTTTTATAACCCAAGGTACAACTGCCCTACATTTGTAGACTTTCATGTGATGATATATTTACTTAAATTGACAATTTTTTTTCTTTTTAATTCAGAGCTAGCCCATCGGAATTTGTTATACCTTTAGCGAAGTATGTTAAAGCTGTATATCATACTCGTGTGTCTGTCGGTATGCGCTTCAGGATGCTGTTTGAAACAGAGGAATCTAGTATTCGTCGGTATGTTTTTGTAACTTATTGAAAATGATAGATGAACTGCTTTGTTATTTTCTATATTCTGGTAATGTAGAGTATGCAATATGATTTAAAAAAAATACATGGTTTAAATTTGTAAAATTTCAATAAGCATAAGCTGCAACCCGTATTTGTAGAAATATTCTTGGCTTGTTAGGAATGATGACTATGCTTTTCTCTTTTGAGGTGCTTTTAGTTGCTCATTCTTCTGTAGGCATAATTGGGATGCTGAATATTCTACGAGACTAGGAACTATAGAAACATTAATCTGGTGACTATGGATTTACGTCATAAATATTGGATTAATGATTTTCATTGGTTATTCGAATAAAGAACTTGATGTGGAGCTTTATTCTAACGGTTGCTATGTACGTAAGATTTTCTCTAAAATAAGTTGTAATTCATATCTTGTTTCCAATGACATGAAATATAGGTGAATGGCATTATAAAGTTTGATTCTTTATTGATACTTAAATCAAATGCAGTGCATACATATATAATTCAAGTATTCAGAGATGGTGTAAATTAATTGCTTTGATATCACTTTTCCTTCTTTTTATTTTTTTCAATGATGGTCTATAATTTGTTATAATGAGATGAAGTGGAAACATGAATACGAATGAATGATTATTTTGACCCTCAAAAATGCTCTATTATGTATAAAGTTGTTAAAATAATATTCATTGACATTAATAAGGTCAATCAGTTTGTAGAGTTGGTGTTCATACGTGTTTGTACAAATTTGTTTATTTATCTATATGTTCACGCAGATACATGGGCACAATAACTGGAATTAGTGACCTGGACTCTGTTCGGTGGCCAAATTCTCATTGGCGCTCAGTCAAGGTTTGTCTAGAATTTATCAGATATTTCATTTATGTGATATAGTTATATAAAGATCGATAATATCTTGCTTTAAAAACAGTTTATGTCTCATTAGGGGTTGAGGAAGGATTTTAAAATGGTTTTTTCTTGAGATGCAGGTTGGCTGGGATGAATCCACAGCAGGAGAGAGGCAACCCCGGGTTTCTTTATGGGAAATTGAGCCATTAACTACATTTCCAATGTATCCATCTCCATTCCCCCTTAGGCTCAAGAGACCATGGCCTCCAGGAATGCCTTCATTCAATGGTATGCTTCTTGCCAAATATTAGTGAACTATGTGATGACCTGATTTATTTTCAACTTACAAAGCAGTTTTACATTTCTAAGTCAATTTCATTTATGTATCAACGGATTGACTCTCCCCTATGGATCGTAGCAGGCTTGAAGGATGATGATTTTGGTTTAAATTCTTCACTAATGTGGCTTCGAGACTCAGACAGAGGTCTTCCATCTCTTAATTTTCCGGGAATTGGTGTTAGTCCTTGGATGCAGCCAAGGCTTGATCCCTCAATGGTGAACTATCAAACAGACGTGTACCAAGCTATGGCTGCCGCTGCACTTCAGGATATGTGGAGTTCAGATCCTTCCAAACAACATCCTACTTCCTTACTTCAATTTCAGCAACCACAGAACTTCCTGAATAGGACTTCTCCCACAGTGCAGACTCAGATCTTGCAGCAATCTCAATCTCAGCAATCGTTTCCAAATAGTCAAGAAATACCACATCCATCTCAATCTCAGGCTCAGACTCTAACACATTTTCAGCAGCATTTGCAGCATCAGCATTCATTCAATAATCAGAATCAGCATCATCTTCTACAGCAGCAACAACAGCAGCAACAATCACAACAACCGCAGCAGCAACAACAGCAACTGCAGCAGCAACAAGTGATTGATCATCAGCAGATTTCAAGTGCTGTCTCTACAATGTCTCAGTTTGTTTCAGCACCTCAATCCCAATCGCCACCCATGCAAGCTATCTCTTCACTGGGACATCAGCAGAGTTTTTCTGATTCAAACGGGAACCCTGTAACTAATGCTATTGTTTCTCCCCTGCATAGTATTTTGGGTTCATTTCCCCAGGATGAAACATCTCACCTTCTCAATCTTCCTAGAACCTCATGGGTTCCTGTTCAACCTTCAACTGCATGGCCACCCTCCAAACGTGTTGCAGTGGATCCTCTCCTTCCTTCTGGGGCATCTCAATGTGTTCTGCCTCAAGTGGAACAGTTAGGGCAACCACAGAGTACCATGGCTCAAAATGCAATTACATTGCCACCCTTTCCTAGTAGAGAGTGTGCTATAGAAGGAAGCAGTGATCCGCAAAATCATATTTTGTTTGGAGTAAATATAGAGCCCTCATCACTGCTAATGCATAATGGGTTGTCAAGCCTCAAGGGAGTTAGCAGCAACTGTGGCCCACCAACTATACCTTTCCAATCATCTAATTACCTGAACACCACAAGCACTGATTCTTCAATGAATCCTGGAATGGCACACAATATTGGTGAGTCGGGCTTCCTGCAAACCCCAGAAAATGGAGGGCAAGGAAACCCACCGATCAAAACCTTTGTAAAGGTGAGATTTTCCCATGGGTGTATTTTCTTCAAAATTAAATGTTATATATTTTCTCTTGCTATATTTTTGTGATTCACAATAAAAGTGGCCTATTAATAGTTTTGATTTTTATATTGCATATATATTTTTTGACAGGTTTATAAGTCAGGGTCCTTTGGAAGATCATTGGATATTACAAAATTTACCAGCTACCATGAGCTACGCGGTGAGCTTGCTCGCATGTTTGGCCTTGAAGGTGAGTTGGAGGACCCTGTGAGATCAGGCTGGCAGCTTGTATTCGTTGACCAAGAGAATGATGTTCTTCTCCTCGGTGATGGCCCATGGCCGTAAGTATTCTTGGTTTCTTTTATTTCTAAATGAAATCCCATGGCACTTTAGAATATCTGCATAGACAATTCTCATTGTTTGCCATGTGTTTTTATCCCTAGTGGTGATAGCTTGTATATTCTGGATTTCATTTCTCTTTAGTTTTTGTGAAAGCAAATGACCTATTGACCAGGTTCTTTTCTCACACCTTTAATATCGTACATGTTTTTGGTGGAACAGGGAATTTGTAAATAGTGTAGGGTGCATCAAGATACTTTCCCCTCAGGAAGTGCAGCAAATGGGCAACAATGGCCTTGAGCTTCTTAACTCAGTCCCAATCCAAAGGCTCTCTAGTGGCGTGTGTGATGACTATGCAGGCCATGAGGACCCAAGAAGTATTAGCACTGGGATAACAACTGTGGGTTCTTTAAACTACTGATATGACAGTCAATACCATGAATCTCTTTTCTCACTTGTATTATTACTCCTTCTCCACCCTTTGTCAATGGCAATGGTGGGAAGTACTGCCTAGTTGTAGTTTATAGGCTACCTGTTAGCCTTTTGTTTTTGTTTTCATGTTTTTGCTTCTTAGGACCATTTATAAGCTAAACATGTAACTATATGGCATCTTGTCAATGTGCTATCTACAATATGTTGATTACTTGATCGTTTAGAAGCTCAACTCAACGCATAAAGAGTGAATATAGCTCTCTTTCCCTATCTGAGGATAATTAATTATTACTTTTACCTTTGACTTTGATCATTGGGGCATGTGTATATTACCAAGAGTTTTTACTTGATAGGTGAAGGTAAATACTAGACTTCACTGCAAAATCTTATCAATTATGTAGATCCAGTGGAGGATAATAGAGGAAATTGGAGTGTTGGACTTATCGAACTTTTTGACATCTAAACATCTTGGGAACTGTTGATGTGACACTTAAAACATGAAGAGGACACCAAAACCATGTGATGTGTCTCTCTTAACATAAAAGGACTGTGAACAGATCACTTTGTGCTTCCATTAATGTGAAAGTGGCCTGTTTTGTATTCTTCTTGGTTTTGGCCATGCACCCTTTTCACTTTACTTGTGATGGATATGATTCATGAATGGCAAAACTGAAAGCTGTGTATTTGTCCATTTTAAACTCGATTATTCCTCCACGTACCAAGTATTTGGAATCTGGAATCTGAAACCTAAAAGCATCCAAGTTTTGTGCCACCACTAAGGTATCCTTTCTTTGAGAGCTTGACAAATTGTTTTCTTAATGGTGGTGGTTGGTTCATTGCTACTTTCAAATCACTTACCTAACTACGAGGGACACCAACAGTGCTAATTGCTCCAGCTAAATATAACTCAATAAATCTTCACTTATAAAGTATAGTTTTGGTTAAAGATATTATATGTACACATCCTACACAGCTATATCCTAACTGATGGGAGGAGGCAAAAGAGAAAGTCTATGTATACATATTGACTCCATTTTCAGAAAGTTGTAAGCATATTATAGTAATATTATTCATAATAACTATTAAATGTTGTGGTAGGTTATCAACGAATTCACAGTTTTTCTAATAATTTCAGTGACTTGCCGTGTACAAATTTGTGCATTGTCATTTTCAACATGCCAGGTGTATTAACTAGAAATACAAAATTTACCTTAATTTTTTTAAAGCTGTTCATACAATTTATTACCATTTGATAGGTAAATGTTGCCTAAAATTTAAGATAATATTTTTACAATTGGGCAGGCGGACCACAACTTCTCAAATTTGTATTATTTTTAATAAATTTTTCAGTAATACTTTTGAATTTATTACCAAAAATCATCTATAAAATGTTTATTGAGCAGTTCTTGATGATTTAAAACTGTTGCATAGACATGACATTTGCAAATGAAAATAATATTCTCCTTAATATTATAGATACACTAGTACATAAATCACTTTAGACGTCCGTTATTTTGGGCTTCTTACGTCCGACCCGTGTCGGACGTCTATAAGGGTGACGTTGATGGGACGTCCGACTTGTTTAGTCGGACGTCTATATAGACGTCCGACTTGACGTCCGACTTGTTCAGGTCGGACGTCTAAGACCCTCGAACGAGTTTGGCCTCTATAGTTCATTGGATGTCTCTGTATACACTGACTGATGTCTATAGACGTCCAATGTTGCATTAACAGACGTCTAGGGGGTATTTTTTTTTCAAAATTTATTTATTTTTGCAATAAAACAACACTTGAAAAGCATAAAATTGTCCCAAAACATTGTAATATTATATATCAACTCGTTTGAAGTTAACAAAGTAGTAAAAAACAATCCAAAACCTAAACTATCAAAAGTTAAAGTTAAACTAAATCTAAATATGTTGAACAACAATAATAAATCTTCCTATCTATGTCCATTTTTGCAGAAGATAAGTTGTCCACTCTTATCTTATCTTCTTAATTGCGTCCTCTGGTATAGAAGATGTACTCTTGAAGCATTGCAAAATGAAGAAAGATGCATTATGTACCTATCTTACAACAAAGTTAAGTTGTTAGAAACTAAGAATCTAAATAAGTTAAGCATCATTACCTCATTCCAGTCATTTGTAATGACAGCTCGAATGATGGTCTTAATCCAAGACATGACATAGTACCCACATTCCCATCAATCTAGCTGCTTGTTACACTAAAATGACCAACTAAATAGTCAAACATTTAGATCATTCAATAACTAGTAAAATAAATTAGAACTATACATGACTTACAACCTTTGGATACAGAACGGATACTAGCTGACCTCGATTTTTACCCATTACTCTATTTAAATTGAAAACACAAGGTAATATTAATATAACTATATTTATCATAAAATGCGAAGGTCAAAATGAATTTGAAACATAAAAAGAGAAACACTTACCCTTGAAGCATGTTTCTTAAGTCATTTTTCATCTTCCTGTGCAGCGAACAAAACCATATAATTTTACATTGTTTGGGAATGATGAGCATCAACTGCCAATGAGACCTATCATGATTCATAAGTAGTTAGTAAACTAATTAAGAAAACTTTAATGAAATTTTACATCAAGCAACCCATAACCATCAATGTATGGCATAAAGTATATGTCTTTGTTTGACTTAGCCATCCATGTTTCCAAATACTTTTGTTTCCTTTCAATTGTGTTATCAGAAGGTTGGATGGTCTGAGGTTCAACAAATCCGTACATGAAAGACCGACCTTGGTCCACAATGACTGTGTCCATGTACCTAAAACAACAAAGTTAAGTTGTTAGAAACTAAGAATGTAAAGTTTAATATGGAAGACAAAATTAACTATCTTACATGCACCATAGTTAAAGGATGGAAATATTCAACATCCTGTCTCCCCCAATGATCTCTAGTGTATCATTGAATGTGATATATACTAGGACATGGGGGGATGCCAAATACTCTATTATCCTAGTACACTTCTATTGGTCCTCTGTTCAACTTGGGTAATTTTGTCATGAGCTTTGCTAGAGGATCATCCTCCGCTTCAGCCAAGTTATCATCTTCATCTATGACTGACTGATGGATCGGCTGCTTGTGGGGATGTATGAACTGAACATAAAAATTTCAAAGTTATCAATAAATATTTTTAAATTTAACATACAAAGACTAATAATAAAATATTATACCTATGGTGTAGCAATGTGTGACATGATCAATGCTCTAGGCCAGGCTATAAATGTTCCTATGGCCTCCCCCACAAAATGAATTTCTGAAGTGGGTACAGGCACTTGAGCCTGGGGATCCTGAACCTCGTCAATCGTCACACGCACGTGCTGAGGTAATAGGGGAACACCATGAACAGTGCTGCGTCATGGAATGCAACTTCTCTTCAAGCGCTCTTTGAATTTCTTTTTGTTCTTGTAGTTGCTTTATGAATCGTTGCTCCATTGATCTCATGCCTTCGTTGAGCCTTTCCTCGCACTGAAGATCCATCTTCCTCAATGCCTCCTGACTCATGGATTGAGTGGTTTTTTTTGCAGGGCCAAAGTAGTCACGAAGATCAATCGTCCTAGGAACTCCACGTACACGTCCTGCGTGCTCGGGCTTTCCAATGGCCGTTGTTAGAATGTCGTCCCTACCTTGGCCAACAAATGTTCCTTGAGTTTGCTGCTCAACCAACTCATCCTACATATAAAAAAAACTTTGTAAGAAGGAAAATGCGATGATAAATACACAATTAAACAATGCTTTGGTTTAAACTTACAATTTTTTGTGAGATCAAGATAGCTGAGGAAGATGTCATTCTCCCATCAAATTTAGTACGAGCAGCCTTCCATAGCTCGTACCTAGCAGGTGTAGGTGCTAGGTCGAGGGACTCAAGTCCTAAGGCCTCCGCTCGAGTCTTCCTCATCTTCTTCTCAAGTTTTGCATAACCACCTCGTGATAACACGTGTGGTGCATCATTTAATCTTTACCTTTCTTGAACGGCTAACCTTTTATCCTGTGAAACCATGTATATTCATAAGTGTAAAATCATAAGAAATTGCATTAACAGTAGACTTTGTAGATGTTAAGAGACAAACCTGCCAGTTGACAGACTCTCTAGATGCATGAAACTGCATCCACTCCTCCTGTGTGAAATTGTAGTGTTCCCATGGACTCTCATGTTGTCTGCCTCCAAAGACATATACACGTGTCAGTGAAATCCCTCCATCTGGTCGCTACATGGGACAACACTTTCTTTCTAAGCTGAGTAGTGTTTGGAATTTCATAATTTTGCTGTTTAAAATAAAGAACATGTTAATGACATAAACCTATAAGAGAAAAAAGTATATCAAATTTCTTTTAAGTATACATACCTGAATATCTAGCCATAAAAGGTTCTTGTCGACCTTTGGGACGTCCTCCAAAGAATTAAGAAGGATAGACACATGGGTTTTTGCTAACACACCCAGATAATTCCTAAACCTATCAGCATTTGGCCTTGATGGCACACCTGATCTGGGGTCAATGTCAACATGTCTCCTTTGTCCATCAACGCGTTGGGATGTCACTTCTGGCAATTGTGTGACAGATCGACGACGTCCTGATCCTGAGGTCGACATACCTTCAAAATATATACAAGGTTAGTACTACATCAAATATGACGAATAAGACAACATTTAAAGTCACTAAAAAAAATATCACAACCTATTAAGATATTGTTTTCTCCCAGGTCCATTCATTGTGATCACTACGAATTACGTGGATGTCATCGGCTACGTCATCGACCTTGTCTTCAATGGGTCTTGATGCAACAGATGTTGTCTCAAGTATATCAAGAGAATCTTCATCATCATAGTCGTGCATTTTTTTTCCCTCCAAAACCACTGATTTATCCCTTTAAGATCTTCATGTATCTTTCAATAGGGTACATCCACCTTAAGAAAACCGGTCCACATATTCGAATTTCTCTTACTAGATGAATAATCAAATGAACCATGATATCAAAAAAAGGTGGAAAATACATCTCCAATTCACACAGTATTCTTATTCCTCCATTTTCCAATTGATCTAAACCTCTAGGGTTAACAACTTTCTTGCCAATGACATTAAAGAACAAACTACGACATGTCAGAATACCTCTAACAAAAGCAGGTAATATGCCTCGAATAACAACTGGTAACAATTGTTGCATCAATACATGACAATTGTGAGACTTTAAAC